GTCCAGTTGCGTGGAAGCTGTTGACTTCCTGCTAGTATTCATGAGCAGTTCTCTGAAATATCTCTGGCTAAATAGTCAACATTCCCCGCCCTGAATGCTTTTTTTTCGGAATCTCACCATCTGCGCCCCCGTATATGCCTGGAAATTGCATATACGGAGGGGGGGGCATGGAAAGTACATATAGGGGGGGGTGCATGGAAATTGCATATACGGGAGTGTGCCTGGAAATTGCATATACAGAGGTGTGCCTGGAAATGGAATTTCCAGGCACACCCCCGTAGACTGTCCCACTCGAAAGAGAATGAATGGTGCATTTCCAGGCACACCCCCGTAGACTGTCCCACTTGGAAGAGTCTCAGAATGAATGGCGGTGTGTCCACCGTGCCCGAAGGGATTTGTTTGTTCATGATGTTTTTTTCACAGCGGTGCTAGGCTACCAGCCGGGCGCCCAGGTCACCTGGTTTTTTTTTTTTTTTTTTTTTTTTTTTTTTTTTTTTTAAACAGAACCTCAGGGTTCTGGCTCCTACCATTCTGGGGGGCGACAGTCCGGTTCCTATTCCCCCGGCAAGTCAATATGGAATACATAAAAGACTCACGCACGCTCCTCCCCATTATGGGCGTCGTTCAACACTCCTCGGGGACTCCGAGGACAAATCCTTGGGCTCCGAGGATTTCCCAGCCAAATCGTCCTCGGCTCCAAAGGACCTCGCGAGGTCCTTTGGGGCCCGAGGATCCGTGTTTCACGGAGAGGAGAGGGCATGCACGTAGAGAGACGATACAACCGAGAATTCTGATCGTGGCGGCACCCTATTGGCTGAAAGCCTGAAGCACAACTTTTTTTCTTTTTTTCTCCCTTTTATTTTTCTGACATTGCTCCGAGGATGAGTCCTAAAACCGATGCTCCGAGGATGAGTGGAACGAAGACGACAAAAAACCTGAACTTTTCCGAGGATTCATCCTCGGGGCCCGAGGATGCCCCGAGGAGTGTCGAACGACGCCCTATGGGCTGAGAGGCCCGAGTGGGCAGCATTGATTACTTCCATGAGGAAGGATGTACCACCTCTCACCCCTGCCTAATCTAGCCTGTACTTACTCTGCCTGCCAATCTGTCTGATCCCGGATCTGCTCCTCTCAGCTATGAAGCTGTCGGGTATCCATGATTATACAAGAGCATTCTGGAACATTTATGCGCCTTTTGAAGCCTCTTTAGCTCTATAACAGCATTAGCATTGTTCCTGTCTAAGCCATAACCCCTAAACGCTAGATCTAAATGTTGTCCTGATTTATCGGTAACTGGACGTCCAGGTAGAAATTACCTCTCCTAAATCTGTCGCTGTTTTCACTCGAGCATCAGTCCGGTTGCTTTTTTGTATCTGCAACCCTTAAACCCTAAACCCTCTCTGTTTTCTGTCGAAATCCCATGTTGCTATTCCCTAAAAACCGTAGTTCCAGTATCAACTGTGTAAACGCCTTGAAATCTATGTCCTCCATTTGAAGCATAAATTGTTACCCTTTATGATTGCCATCGCTCCTTGCCCCAGTATGTTATGAACAAAGCGTTTCGTTATCTCTTCCTCCTGCCCTGGTTGGAGGGTTATTTGCGTCTTTACTGCTTTCCACTGTGCTCTGAGATCCGTTTCAAGCAGTGTGAGAAATATTTCCCTGGCTTCCTGCTTGTGCATTGGTCGTCCTTGAATAGTGAGTCGACACCGGCGCTTCCAGATAGTCCACAGGCCATATTGGCGTATCAATTTAAACATATGTTTCTCAAAAGGCTGCCAATGATTCGGAATATCGAGTCCCAAGAAAAGACAGATTTTGGAATCAGGGAAGGTAGCCTTTGAAATCTCGTCCCATATGGTCTTTACTTCCCCCCACATCATGTTTGCTTCCTAACATCCCAAGAGGCAGTGTTGCATTGTTTCTGGAATTCCCCTTCGACATACCCTGCATATTGCGCTCTCCGCATTTCTCAGTCTCGAGTTTCTACGCTCGTCCAACCATACATTAACGGGAAGCGCCACATGAGCTATTAACCATTGCATGGTTCTAACTGAACCTAATGCTTGACCATCGCAATTGAACCAATTGATTACGAGGTATTTCTACTCTCTTTTCCCAACGCTTGAGCAAATGAGGCGTGAGCGTGTGAGACCTCCTCCTTAATCTATATCCAATTTTGGTGGTGTAGTGCAGAATCATAGGTTACCAATGGTCCGGGGGCCGGTCGTCTCCCCCAGACGTCTCCCCATACGTCCGGTACCCCCGTCGTCCGGAAAAACAAATGTTTTTTTTCGAAAGAAAAAATATATATATATTTTTTTCGGTTTTTGATTTTTAACTCATGATGGGATGCGAATTTGAACATGACTCCAAGGCAAAAGTTGCTTGTATTGTTATGTGACATAACATATATTTTTGTCAGATTTTTCTGAGAACTTTTTTTTTTTTTTTTTTTTTTTTTTTTTTTTTTTGCTAGGTCGGACATACCCTGTCCGGTCGGACGTCCGACCAGACGTCCGGTCGGACATCCCGGACGGTCAGGGGGACGTCCGATCCAACAACCTAATTCTTCTTGCTGCACCTGTTCCTCTGCTCCTTAGATTCCATGCCCATTCTGTTGGATCCACTCTCAAGTCTTCAATCGGCACGGATGGGCAAAATATTGTGCATTCATCCGTCTCCAGTACCCTTACCTTCCTGAGGTATTGTTTAAGAATGACTATCGGGACTTTGGATGTCATGTCCAAGAGGGAAGTTGTGTTGGAAGGATGGACTATAGCGTACTTGTCTGCATGTAGTCAATCTTGTCTTGAAGTATCCTGGTTCCAGATCCTGAAGGCTTCCTTGGGTTCGTTATCATCACTCCATGTGGCCCAGTCCCCTTGTCCCCACTGGATTCCTCCCCGTAGCAATAGCTGCCATGTTTGTGGTATGGCTCCCAATATGACTCTACGGTTGTCAGCCAATCGGTGACAACCCTTTAAGCTTGTCCTCAGTTCTCCAACAGTTTTCCATCTCTTTTCCCTTTCTTCCCAAATGTTTTTTATCTGCCAAACCCCGTGCTCTAGCCACCTTCCCCACTTTGCATCTTTTATTGACAGCGTGAGTGGCTTCCCCTGTGCGTCCTTAATACTGGGGTTGCCGAATAAAGGTTGTCTAAGTACTTCTTCCCTTGTGTTTGGCTCCTTTACTTTTGCCGGGAAGATATCTTTCCATAACTTCAACAGTTGTTCCCAATAAGACATTCTTGAGGCTTCAATGTCGTCCTCCTGATTTCTCCGCTCCTTTCTGCCTACTCTTGCCCAATTGCCGCACACTACCCAAAACAACCCAGACATATTGCGCCCAGGTCACCTTGTTTGCCTGCGCGGACCAGAGTGCAAGGACCAAAGAAGGTCCAAGACTCCCAGCAAAAGAAACAAAAATATAAAATCTCTGAAAAAAAATAAATTATGTTATGCAGAAAAAAAAACTGAACAACTTTTGCCTCAGGGTCACATCGAAAATTCCTTACCAAATTTTAAGCAAAAAATAAAATAAATTCTTTTTTTTCTTTTTTCTTCTTTTTTCTTTTTTTTTTCTTTGGCCAGGCAAGTGGTCCCCGGCCTCTCGGGTAGCCTAGCAGCCCTGGTTTTATTAATTTTAGTTTTCGTGGGAACAAGTTCAGAGCAGCGAAAATCAGGGAAGATGCACAAGATGACACGATGTGGCATATTCTGCATCCACCCCGCTGTACCCCACAGGCGTAGCAGATACGATCCCACAACTGTTCAAATAGATTGTGTACCATCTTCACACAGACACAACGTTCGACTGAAAAAGTAGGGATGCGAAAAATGAGGGTCATTCAAGTCCCCTGCAAATGGTCAAGTCCCCCCCGAAAAAAAGGCAGGGGCAATGCACAAGACGACATGACATGGCACTTCGATGTACTGCCAGGTGACACGTGGCAGTTGTGCATCCAACCCGCTGTACCCAAGAAGGGTCACCGTGGCAGATCCTAACCCACTCCTAACCCGCCACCACTCGAATGGGCTGTGCTATCTTTCACACAGACGTAATACTAAACGGAAAAAGAAGCGAGATTAGGTTGTGATCTTTCGGATGATCAGCACAAGCATGACGCGGGCGCAGCGCTACCGGGTCGAAACGACGGGTGCACTAACGCGCGTTGAGACGTGAAGCGGCGATGGTGATCTCACGAGGGCATGGCGGGTCAATATCGTGTGTGGCAATGACGCTTCTTAGAGACTTCTGTGGATGTGGAGAGAGGAGGGGTGTGTGGTTTGAGTAGCCGTGTGGGGGAGGGTGCCACATGGCATAGGGTTACGAGGACACTCTCTCTGTCTTCTGTGTTTAATCTCGTCTCTCGCTTCTCCGGTTTTTTGCTGCCATGGGTCGTTGGATTTGGACCGAATTCGTTGTGAACTTGTGTCGAGGGGTTTGACATGGCCATTCAGAACGCAAGTAACAGGGAGGCGGGGGCGTCTCACTAATCTCTTCTGGTTGGCACACTTTACCGTAGGGCTATACTAGCACGGTTGTGGGGAGGAGGAGTGGCTCCTTCTATAGGAAGAGGCAGGGGCTGAGTTTGGTCTGGACAGGGGAACTATGGGAGCGGAGCAGTGTGCGATGGTCTGCAGTGATTGGTGACTTCAAGTGAAGT